TTTGGTTGCTGTATTTTCACTCAACCAGTTTAATCAGTGATTCTATTAGGTGGAGCACACAATATGCTCAAAGGTCAATTTTATAGGAGGCCTCCTTTGATCATTTTACATAATTAACACCCCGATTCTCACTCTCCAACCCCCTCAGCCTGCTCTATTTTTTCTTCAGAGCACTTCTCCACTAGGTATTATATCACAAGAAAAGTAAGTTTTATGACAGCTTTTGGACAACTTTGTCCATTTTCATTATCATATTGCTAGGTTAGAAGAGTCTAGCACCTGAACATCAAGTATTTGAAATGAGTTGGTTGGATGCTGAACAAATATCTTTAAAAACTGTTTAAATATAGACACACAATAATACACACAGATATAACAGTACAAAACATATTTTTTCATCGTGACACCAAGTGATTAGCATATGCCCTGATGAAATCAATATTTGTTTTCTGTTACCTATACTCCAGAAAACATATCAAGGTGGCATTACTTGCTCCTAGGAAAAAAAAACGTGTATTCAAGAATTACTAATTTCTTCCATAAGTGCTCAAAAAAGTATCAATTTAATAATCATTCCTGTGTTCAGCATAAACAAACACTTCAGTCTCATCTTGGAATCCACCTATCTCCGTAATTTCCCAAAGGCTATCTACAAATTTTCTACATAGCCTAAGATATAAATTATTTGAGCCCAGAGATTTAAAGCAACTAAATATCTTACAACCTTAGATGTCTATTTTCAGTTGCTATTTTTATGTTTGTCTTCCTGTTTGAAAGTCATTATCATTCTATGAGGTACAGGAAAACAAAGAAAAATTGAGTATTGCTTTTTTGTCTTCTGTAGTTATAAATACAAATAAAATTTGCAACATTATTCCAAAACACTGAGACCAGTTTTCCTTTTAGCTTTAAAAACAGCGTAAAAAGTATTTGGAGTTGAAACATTTAAAAACTAGCCAGCTGGCAAACATAGTCTCAAAAGACACATCTACCTCTGTGAACATGGCCAATAATAACTGAAAAACTCCGGTTCTTCAAAACCTTACCAAACCCAGTTTAGGTCCTACTTATTAAACAAGTCTTAGCAAACTGTGTATACTTTCAGATCAAAAGATAACTTGTTAGTAAACTAGAAAAATATATTTTGGTCCCTCTGTCACTTGGTTTAGGTCACGTAACAGCAAGAAATTTGGGTGTGTAGCATGCATACCGTTTCCCTGAAAATAAGGCAGTGTTTTATATTAATTTTTGCTCCCAAAGATACACTAGGTCTTATTTTCAGGGGATGTCTTTTCCATGAAGAATACGGTACACATTTATTGTTAAATAAAAATAAAGGAAATTTATTACCTGTATACGGTACGGTAGTTGTCAACACAAACCAGACAAACTGTGAATCCTACAGTATCAAGAATTTACTCATTTATTCAATGACAATCATGTCATCTTCTGGAACATCATCATAACAATCCAATTCCTGAATTTCCTGGTGAATTTCTTGTGACTCAATTTCTTTCAGAATCAGTGGACCAAATCTCTCATGTTTAGCCTACGGGGGGCCTTATTTTTGGGGGCATGCCTTATATTTCACTCAGAAGGAAACCTGTAAGTAGGTCTTATTTTCAGGGAAACACGGTAGTATGCTAGCCTCTAAGTGTTTAGAAGACGATAAGAGTCGAGTCATAAAAACTTGCTAAACCAATAGAACCAGCTTTCTCAGAAGACAGCAGCTTCCTATCTTGCCTTGCAATAGAATCAAATAGACAAATAATGGTCTCCCCTAGGAGCAGTAATATGATTTTTTTTTTTAAAGAATTCACTGTATACTATTCAGAACATAAAATCAGGATGTCATCTATCTAATATATCAAAGAAGTGACTACAGTTGTAAAGCCATTTGGAAACAGTTAAAAATATCTACAAGATTACAAAGAACCCCATATCTTCTTGCAAATATTAAAGTGGAAAAGCTAAAGCATGCTGTAATACTACTCCCTTAATTTATTAATTTGAACATTGCATTTAAAGTGTTTCTGATAATAGTTTCCAGAATCCAAACCAAAAAATCTCCATGTTACAGGTAAAAAAGGAAGCAACAGTAACTGCATTTGGAGATGTGAAGTAGGAGGATAAGGGTTGGGAAGACTTTTCCTTAAAACTAAGGGAACCATTCTTACTTTTGACATATGTGTACCCCTTCTATAATTTTTGTAACGCTGAGTATCCCTCCTACTCATGTGAACGTAGAATTAGGTGCAGCTAAGCATAATGCAGTGCATATCCCCAAACTCTTTCCGTAACCCTGGGGTACACGTACCGCACTTTGGGAAACACTGATAGAGTCATCTTGTGGGAATTCATCTCTAGTATTGCAAGCTACTTATCCTTCATAGGAAACCAGAAACGCTGAATTATTTGTGAAATCCCTCAATTTTCAAATATAAACACTTTTTTTAAGGATTGTGTGGGTGTAACTAGATGGTTGTTACTCTGAACAGGGCACCCTTGTCAAGATGGAGTGGGGGAGGACTGTGCATGTGGTGTAAATTCAGACTTCTCAATAAGGGGGTTGGGCTTGCTTAGGAGGAAGAGGTGCTTTTTTCTTCTCACAAAGGTATCTGCTTCTTTGCAATCTCTGGATCAGATAGAATTAGAGCATTAAAGCTAGAGATACTTGATGTGACATATAAGGATGACCTTTCATTTTTTTTAATTTTTGGGGTATCCTTATGAAAACTTGTAGACCAGCATACTATATACCCAAATTTCAACAACCCAAGTTGCTCATCAGTTAGGCCTTATTCTTCCAGCAATGGCAATGGATTGCACTTGGCCTTCCTATTCTGCTTAGTGATAAATCTGTGACACACTGTCATTAATAGTGCTAGGCGCCTAAGTTATGATCAACTAAGGCACAGCAGCAAAAACTTATTGAGTTTACACAGTTTTGAAGAACCTCCTTTCAATATTTTGAAGAAGTTATTTGTGGAAGTAGGGTGGGCAGGGTTATCTGTGCTATGTGTATTTAATAGCTAAGTATCTCCTCACAGAAAACAAAGCATCATCAAATGTTTATTTGAAATTAAATAAAAAGATGTTTCCTATCTAGTCATTTCAAAAGCACTTTATAACTGTTTTCTTCAATTTATGTTCAAGTGATTTTACAGCAAAAAGATAAGTATACATAACTTATTTTCATTAAACTTATCTAATAATAATCATCTCCAACAAAGAGGGACTGATGTCTAACCACTATGCTGTACATCAGAAATATAAAATAATACTGAATATAAACTGTACTTTTAAAAATTAAAAAAAAGGGGGGGAGGCTGAGAAAGATAAAATATAAACTAAAAGGCTTTAAAAGCAGATGTAATGAAGATGAAAGCTTATATACCAATGTCTTATTTATATTTGCTGACTCCTGTTGCTTAATGGGAGAAGCCAGGCCTGCCACCCAGTGGCAACGTCTTTTAACATATTAAAATAATTTTAAGGTTTAAAGAAAAAAAATTTTTAATAAAACACCACCACACACACAAAAACAACGCAGCCCTAACCAGTGTGACTCAATGGATAGAGTAACGGGTTTGATTCCAGTCAAGGGCACATGCCTGGGTTGTGGGCTTGATCCCTCGTAGGATTCTGTAAAAGGCAGCTGATCAATGCTTCTCTCTCATAATTGATGTTTCTCTCTCTCCCTCTCTGAAATCAATCAAGATTTTATATATATATATATATATATATATAAAATATATTATAGGCTGCACTGGGAAATTTTTCAAAATATACGACTTCTGTTTACAAGTTTTGTAATTTTAATAAGAACTTTCAATTAAAATACTGAAGGTTGCTTTGCTTAAATTTCAATCTACAGGATAATGAAGGGACAAGCTGTGACCACAAAATACAACCGGTTTTCTTCTGTGGCCTATAGAATAAATTTAATACTCGACAGTAGCCTCTCATCCATACACCCAAACTTCCGCTTGGTAAACAAAAACATAATAGAAACACTTGCAAAAATAAGATTTAAAAAATACTTTTCTCTAACTATGAGTTTATCCTAGATATAAATCAATTTTAGTGTCACAGTCAACAACTCAAGCTGAAAGGCAGAAATGGAAATAGTAGAAATACCATGCCTGATAATTATTGATGAGACCAAGTATCTCATTGCCTATTACTTCCCCCAAATTTGGCAATAATTTTTTTTACACTGGCACAGCTATATCCTAACACAAGATGCTTTGGGAAAAAATAACACTAGAGCCTCCATTTACAGTTTGAAAAACGGCTTTGTTCTCTTGAATAACCAGATGAGAAAGAAGCACCCAAAAAGTCTTAGAAATTTAGAGATTTTTGTTTCCAACAATTGTAAATTAAATTGTACAAGATGTTTTTTAACCTATGTTCCATTTACAGTGAAGACAATGAATTTTTAAAAATAAAGGCAGACAAAACATACTTGATTGATATTTACAATGGCTTATGACAAATACAATACCTAAAAATAATTTCTAATTTTTCATTTATTATTGCTATTTAGTCACAGAAATGATTAACACTCTCCAAGAAATTTGTTTTAGCTTATGTCATATATTGATATAATTTTATATGAAGAGAAACCATTGAGAAAGTGACTAATATGGCGCCCTTATAAGGAAATAAAGGAGACAATAAGGAAATTCTTCCATAGAAAGACTTCTAATTTGCATCATTTTTCAAAATATAAAACCTTAATATTAGAAACAAAGAAAAAAAAACAAAGGAAATAATAAAACAGAAGACAAAGGAAAAAGAATCGCTTATGCAGATGCTTTGCATACGTAGTATATATGTATGGGCTGAGTTATAATAAAAATACTTATGTATTATAGTCAATTCTCATATAGTTAGAAATAGCAACATCCAATCAAGTATGATTGGACTGACAGTTTCTCAGTCTTCAATTACATGACGAATTAGAGCTGTGCAGCAATCATTTCTGGTCAGCAGTATCATGATAAATGCTTGATAAGATATAATTTTTCTCCTTGTTCACTTGTAAAAATTGGTGCCTTTTTGTAATGTTCTACAAGTTCTTCCATGGTGCTGAATTTACGCTGCCCAATGCAGTAGACAGTTTCTTTTAGCTGGACTTTAAAATGCTTGTTTTTCCCTTGTGCTTTTAGTGATACTGAGAAATCATTTGGCTAAAAGAGAAAAAACATGTAGGGTAAACATTTTGAAAGACATCTGTTATTATTTTTATATTAAACTAATAACAATTAAAATGTGAACACTTATTAGGTGCTAGGCACTATGCTAAATTATTTATGCCTCCAAACAAACCCATTTTACTGATGAGAAAATTGAGGCTGAGAGAAGCTAAATAATCCAAGATTATCCATCTAGTTAACAATAGCCAGGATTCAAACCCAAGCAATAAGACTCCAAAGTCTCAACATGTTCTACCTAACACCACAAGCAAATCCTTTAAATATCTGAAGCACGTCTAGAGCCATCTTCTCTTCAGTCAAACTACCAGAGAAACACATGAGAAAATCTAAGACATCTACCCCCTTTCAACTAGTAACTAATAGTAGCTGTCTTACAGAGTAGCTGATACAATATTCTGAATTCTCAAAGAAGAAGGAATAATGTAAACTTATGAGAGGTCATAAACTCAAATGCCTACAAGAGGAAGAAAAGTAAGTGCCAGGGTGGATAGAGAAAACTCCAGTGTTACCCTTCTCTATCAAGCACCTGCTCTTCCGGTTATGCACCGGCCCCAGTCTAAGGGAGGTGGCCACTTAGCTGTGATTGTTGCCTTGTAGGAATATGGTCTTAACCTGTTAACCGGGGAGTTCCCTTTTTAATTACGCAACCTGTAATGGGCACGTACTCTTTCACTAGGACTTGTCAGTACGTCACGCCCGGAGGATGTAATTTCATATTATTATTATTATTTTTATTTATACTTAATTAAAATAAATGATATATATATTTTTGTTTATTTATATATAAAGCACAAAGGAAAATACAAAATTACAAAAAAATAGAAAAGAATACCAACAAAAAAATGGAAACATCGAATTAAAAAATTATAGATTTTACAAACAATTATAAAGATTACAAAAAATATATACCGTCCCTCTCAGGGCGCAACATATATTTCCAGGACGTATTCATCCGTCCTACCCGTTCCCGATATTGTTTACGTTTGATGTATTTATAGGTCCGGCTCAGTTAACAGGTTAATGATGACAGACGTTCCAATTTTAAAAGGGATGTCTGCTCTCTGAATTTTTATAATTAATCTCCCAATATTTAAATGCTGACAATATATTCAAATGTTTTTTTAAAAACATTGTGCAGGTCAAACAACATATGCCTAAGACCTCTACTTCAAAAACTCTACGGCTAAAAACAATGGTATATTTTGGTTAATATCTATGCTCAATTAGTCATAAGAAAATACACAGTATTCTGCAATTAAGCTACTACTTTAAAATTCCTTAATTAGACTTTTTAATGTAACCTAACACTCTTTTGAATAGTCTGTATCAACCCCAGAATCCTCTTTTTATCCAATTACTGCCAAAGCTTCAAACAGCGGACTACTTGGAAACATCCCATACTTTACCACTCACTCCCAGGCCACTCCTTCCTAACTAGCCCACTGCTGGCCCTGAAAAGCACTCTTCCCTATTATCAATCACCTGCTCTTCCTGGGGGGTTGGTTATGCATGTTATAGGCCCCATTTCCTGAACTTTACACTTTGGCAGTTCAATCATTATCTTTCCTCCCTCTATCTCTCCCTTCCTCTTGTGCATGTGCATACAAACACACACACACACACAACTTGCCACCAGATAGCTTTTCTTCTGCCTTTCAACCCTTTGTACAATCACACATTCACTTTTGTACAACTACATACAAACAAAGCCAATACTAATCATGATTTGAAAAGCGGAAACACAGTGGAGTCATATATATATATATATATGTAAATAAATGCCATTTTAAGGGAAATGAATATCACCAATTCTAATTATCCTAAACTACCCAAGAGTCCCCTTAACTATTTTTTATGGTTTTATAGTTCTACTAGTATTACAATAAAATTTAACTTTTATCACAAGTGCATTTTAAATACCATAACCACTTTAAAAGAAAAAACTTAAAATATCAAAATTTTAAATTTAGGAATTCTCTTTATTACATGGACAACAGTGCATCCAATATACAATTTAAGAAATGTTTTCAAAACGAAAGAATTGTTTTCCCAGTTTTAGTCTATTGCATCGTTCTACTCTCAATGAAGAAGCCAATGTTAAATTTTCTCCCCTTTTCAGTTTAATGCAACAGAAAATATTTTAGAAATGCAAAATCAACAGTATTAGACTAAGCCAAATAATCCAGTAGAGTATCACTATTAGGGCTATATTTTATTCAAAACAAAGTTGGAAAAAGCTTAAGTTGACTTAAGCTTCAGAACATTTATAGGGAAGCCAATTACCCTCTCCAATTTTTTTAAATACCCAGTGCTCTATTTCCATTTACCTTTGAAAACCGACTTACCGAAGACTCACTATCACGAATGAGAAAATCACCTTCATGCCCTCTTTCATTTAATGCCATTTCTGCTTGATGCCTGGTGACTTTCCCGTAATACCAAGGATTGCCAGCAAACTTTCCAGTGAGTGAAGGCCTAATGTAATCACACTGCGGAGGTGATGGTTCCAAACCTGAGGTTAATGGATTATTCTGCATAATGGTAACGTAGTTTTTTGGCACCAGACCAACCATTCCATTGATCTTCCTGCACTTCCACCACTCTGGGTCATTTTCAGGTTTTTCAAGAACATCCATTACATCTCCTTTCTCAAAATTAAGTTCTTCATCATTGGATGAGCTGAATGGGTAAAGAGCCTGTACCACATGCAATACTTGTCCAGTATTTAGGTTATTGACGACTGCTGCTAATTTCTCTGACAGAGAACCCACATGGTCACCCAAAGGACTGTCACCTTCCTCAGTTACGTAGTTTGAAGGGAACCATCCAACTTGTCCATTGTAGCTACCTCGCCACCACCCATCACTGCACTTCTCCATGACGATCACCTTCGTCCCTTTTATCAATGATAATTCATCCTCTCTCTCTGCCATGTAGTTAAATTTCACATATGCAGGCATGTTGAGGTCATAGAGACGTTCCCCTGGGTCAACAAAGCTATCATCAGCAGGAGCTGCAGAATCTGGTACACTAGGTTTTCTTTTGACTTTTCCAATGCCTGTTTAAATTAGGGAAAAAAAAGATAATGAGAATACGAAACAATGATAACCTAAAAAACCAATTTGCTCATTATTTTAAGAAATCTTTGACTAGTTTTGTAAGCCTTTAAACTTAAATAAATTCCTTTTCTTCCTTCCCTTCCCTCTCTCTCCCTTTCCACCCACCTTCTACTCCCTTCCTTTCTTCCATCTCCATGATTTATAATTAGAAACGTGTACTTTTTGACCACCTCCTTTACCAATTCTCTTTTCAAAACCACTTAACTGTAGTTACATGACAATTTACCTTTTCATCCTTTTTCTGGTCAAAGACTCTAAAATAACTGCACAATTATAAAATTGTCCTAAATTAATGCATTTTCTCTGAAATGTAAATACAAATTATTTCTCTCATACCTACAATCTAAGTACACACATAAAGGATCCACCAAACCTATCTTCTTCTTATTTTTAAAACTTAGATTTTTATAATTGAAATAAACAATAACTTAACTTACAACTTGATGTATACAATATAAAATAGTTATGTCTGGGTAATACTCTCATTTGCTTTCTTAATTCCAAAACCCAAGTTGCTCCTATTTGTTTCCTATGTTTATTTTAAAAATATTATTTGTTTGTCTCCTCTCATTCCATTCATATGTAAGATATACAAGGGCAAAGATTTTATTTACTTTGTTCATGGATATAATCCCAAGGATCTCACAAAAGGTGATTAATATAAACTTGTTGAAAGATATAAGAAAATCATCAAATGATGCCATCATCACAAATGTATGCTATGTCAACTCTAATCAGGCATTTTCACCAGTGCTCATTTCTTATCACATGATTTTATATTCTATTTTTAGCAAGAAAACTAAGGCATTTCTAGGTAAAATTTTTCAAATACATTCTCACTCTCTCAAAACTTTCTCATTACTCTTACTTCTCTTCTTCATCCAAGTTTCTAACTACTGATCCTTCTGGGTTGTTGCCATCTTTACTGCCTCTTTTATGACTCTTGAACATCCTTGTTTCCTTTCTACATTGTTGTCTAAAATTGCACTCAGATCAGTTTTATTCTTAAATAATTTTACTTCAACTCTGCTATTCCCTTTAAACTATGCCATTTTTAAAAAGTTGTCTTCCCTTTTGCCTTCTATTTTTTCACCATTAACTCCTTATAATATTAATTTTTTTCTTTTAAACCTTGTTATAAAATTGCATTCTATTTGTTTAATAGTTTGTCTCCTTAATCAGAGAATGAGATTCCCTAGGGTAGAAAACAATTTTATTACCTTGTATCTCCAGCGCTTAGCAGTACAGTACCTACACTAGTGGTAGAAATAAAGTCAATTTTTGTGGATGAATCCCAAAGTGAACAATTCCTTAGTTAAAAGTGTTTCCTAAGATGCCATGCTTGTACTTTCCCTCTACTTTAAGGAAATCATTTTCATTTTCTATAACTTCTGTATAGAAGGTTCCAAGATCTCTTTGCAGCTCTTAAGCTTTTTCTGGAATTCAAGCACTACAATTCCAATTGTCACTAGATATCTACAGATTGTGCCACAGCACCTCAAATACAAACACCCAGGTCCAAATAAAATATCCATAGATCAACTCCCTTCCTCCCAATTAATTTCTTACTTCTTACCATTATCCTTTAAAATCCTCACATTAGAATTCCTATGGAGTTGAAAGCTCTAGGCCTCCATCCATCCACCAAAAAATAATTAATGAGCTGACAAATACTGTCAGAATAAACATTTGCAAAATTCTAGAATATAGTAAAAAACTTACAAAAACTAGGGCCAGACTTAGGGAAGAAAGCTGCTGCTGCTTTGTAGCAGAGAGAAAGCGGTGGCATTTTAAGTTGCTTGCCAACAATCACTTATATCCCCAATTAGTAGTGGCTGTGGGAACAGTAATCTGCACTCCTAATGCCAGAAGAAGCACCAAAGATCTTATCCTCAAAGAACTGTGGTTGTGGGTTTCAATCTATCTCAGCTACCTGAAGGACCAGGACTTGCCTTAGTTTCACCTGACCTGGAGCATTCCCAGGGCAAGAGTGTCTTTTGCTGAAATTATTAATTGATACAATAGTCTGGGGCAAGGGACAACAACTGGACAAGAAACAGACATTAAAAACCTGAGAAAGAAGCGTTTGGCTAAGGATATAGGGGGGTAATAAGGGTTTTTAAAAGTTCCTGTGTATATCCAGATAATCAAGTTTTCTGAAATACATCCATACATATATGGTCAAGTGATTTTTAAAAAGGAGGCAAACATCATTCAATGGGGAAAAGAATAATCTCTTCAACAAATGGTGCTAGGACAACTGGATACCCACATGCAAAAGAATGAAGTTGGACTCCTACTTCACAACACACACAAAAATTAACTCAAAATGGATCAATAACACAAGTATAATATTATAGTTAAAACTTTTTAAAAAATTTATATTTTATTGATTTTTTTACAGAGAGGAAAAGAGAGGGATAGAGAGTTAGAAACATCCATGAGAGAGAAACATCAATCAGCTGCCTCCTGCACGCCCCCTACTGGGGGTGTGTCTGCAACCAAGGTACATGCCCTTGACCGTAACTGAACCTGGAACCTTTCAGTCTGCAGGCCGACGCTCTATCCACTGAGCCAAACTGGATTCAGCTAATAGTTAAAACTTTAAAACTTTCAGAAGAGAACATAGGGTAAAATTTTCATGAGCCTGGATATAGCAATGAATTCTTAAAATTTGAAACCAAAAAAGCACAAACAAAAAAAGATAAATTGTGCTTCATTAAAATAAATATTTGTGTAAAACTATCAAGAAAATGAAAAGACAACCTACAGAAATACAAAAGACTATTTTCAAATCATATCCTGTTAATAAAGGACATATAACATATTTATGTTAGAACCAACAACAAAAGAAAAATCCCATTTTTAAAAAAATGGGCCAAGAATTTGAATGTTTCTCCAATGATATATGCAAATGCCCAAAAAGTACATGAAAAGATGCTCAATATCATTAAACATTAGGGAAATATAAATCAAAATCACAATGAAATACCACTTCAAACCTACTGGCATGGTGATAATAAAACCAAACTAAACCAAACCAAAAAAATAAGAAAGAAAGTGTTGGTGAGAATAAGGAGAAATTGGAGCTCTTCTTACATTGCTGGGCAAAGTGTAAAAAGGTGCAAGTGTTATGGAAAACAGTTTGATGATTCCTCAAATGTTAAACACAGAATTACCATACGATCCAATGCCAGGTGTATGCCCAAAAGAATTAAAAAAGGTATTCAAACAAATACTTGTACACAAATGTTCACAGCTTCACTATAACCAAATATCCAAAAAGTAGAAACAACCTATTTACAAATAAAGAATAGGAAGTTTAGTTATATATCGTTGGTCACATGATTAATAACTGGTTTTTCTGGAAGCAGAACTAAGGAATTCTAAATACAAAAATATAGTGTTCTTTCCATTAGATTTTTATTTATATTTTGTATTTTCTGTTCATTTTTATCTACAAAAAATAGAGAAATTATTATTCTGTTTGATCTAAAATATTGTGCACTTTTTGTTTTCAGGGGTATTTTTGCTGCCATACAAGAAGCACACATTCTATTTCCTCAAATTTTTAAGTCCATTCAGGGAATAGGCGAGTGAATAACCTATATCTACTCTGACAAGCTGGAAAGCAAAATAAATGTCAATTCTGACTTGCTGCTAGTGAACAAAGGGGTATTTTGGTTACAAATATCAATCCTGACCCTGACCCTACAAATATATTTAGGATTAACTATCAACTTTCTAAGACTCAAAGAGAGAATGATTTTATCATTGTACTGATAATGTAAATTCTGTGAGAGTACTAGTTTTATATTCTATGATTTTTGCCTTGCTTGTAATAGGCTCTCAATAAAAATATGCTGATAAACAAATAAATGATTAAGTTAAAGAATAAACTGTAAAAGGAACACTGACCAAAAAAGCTGATCTAAAAATTTTTATAACTCCCCAAAAGCAACAAAAGAGATATATCTCTTGGCTATTAAAATTAACTAAATAATAAAAGGAGTCTTAATATTACAATTACAACATTTTTTTTCAGCAAAGTGACTGCTCTTTTCCATTTTGCCCCTTACCTTGAAATTTCAACAGGTTACACTTTGTTTCCCTATACTCCCTATGTATGAGACTTCTATAACAATTCTGTTCATTTTTCTAGAAATATCAAGTAAATGTTCAGAGACCAAATCAACTTCATTGTCATAAGATTATAAAAAGGCCATCACTAGGTAGAAAGATTAGGCTCTTGTATTAGTATTACTTTATGATCAGAACTCAGAAACAAGCCAAACAATTTATTATTTTCCTCACTGATTATATTTTCTTTGTAAGCAGTTGCTCTGAGAACTCATTTCAAACTATAAAATTTCACATTTACGGAAACAGTAATTTTTAGCAATCCTGCATGGATTAAAACAAAACATTCCATTTACTGGTGCTTTTATTAAATGTTCTCTTCTACATTGTTCCTCTAAAATCTAAGTAAAAAGTACTAAAACAATACTGTGTTAATTTTGCTATCTGTTAAACAGTGATACAATATTTTAAAACTACGTTACTTATAAAGTTAAAACTAATATTATTTGATATCACCAATAATTTAATAAGCCACACAAGCACCAACCTATATAACCCCCTCCCATAGGTTCTCTCCATACAGTTTTCCTTTAAATTACAAAAATGAAAAATCTAATTTGAAAACTATGGATTTAATAAACAGATAAACTTACTGAAAAAATCTTTAAAGGCGTTTAACCAATCCATTTAGAATAAAAATTCCGTGTTTTCTTTTGTCAGTTACAGCTCAGGATAGTTCTGAGTGAGCTTCCTGGTCTGTTCTGTAACACTGAAACTTCCCACACCCAATCCACGTGACTTGGCCCACACCCAGGCAATAGAAAGTTTTTCTGAGGCTACTCTCTTTCCAAACATTTTCCCCCCTGAATTATAACAGAACCTGTAAAGCAAGTATATTATGGCCACAAATGTGATCTTATTATTCAGTTATTTTAGAAGAAGCTTTAAGTCATATATATTTTCAACAATTGAAAATATATTCATGTATTCATTTTTTTCCTGTGTTTTCTTAACTTTCAAATAATGTCTCTCCAGAAGCACAATTATTGTGAAACGAATTAATTATATGGGACATCTAAGTTACCAAAAAGGAGTTCAGAAATTCTGTGGAGATAAGGCTGTCTGATGCAAACGCTGAATTTACATAAGGCTAACTACAGATCACTAACTTAAAATGAATAATTAAAAAATGTTTTGGGCTTTAAAGTTTATATACAGTAATATCTAAAATTTGGAAACTTATCCTCTTTGCTCTATGGTATTAGTTTTTTCACAATCTTTTGTTAATTACCATCACATATACTCTAGTCTCAGGATATCAGCATTCTTTTAAGAAATATCTATTTAGCCGAAACCGGTTTGCTCAGCGGTAGAGCGTCGGGTCTGCAGACTGAAGGTCCCAGGTCAAGGGCATGTACGTTGGTTGCTGGCACATCCCTGGTGGGGGGTGTGCAGGAGGCGGCTGGTCGATGTTTCTCTCTCATCGACGTTTCTAGCTCTCTATCTCTCTTCCTTCCTCTCTGTAAAAAATCAATAAAATTTAAAAAAAAATTTTAAATAAAAAATAAAAAGTATCTATTTAGATGTGGTTCTAGTCCTTTTCGTGCCTTCATCACTATAAGGCACACTTTCTTCACAGAAGTTACCTTAATTATTCCCAATATCTCTATAAATGTCCAGTATTCACAAAATAATAAACATTCTTGGTTCTAACTCTGGTCTCTCTTAGCTACTCAAGGAAAATTTCTTTCTGGTTTCTTTCAATAAAAAACTAATAATGGTCTTTTTTTTTTTAATATACACAACGAGACTGGGTAGAAGAGGGGGTGGGGATTTTTAAATCAGGACTTTTTTAAAAAATATATATTTTATTGATTTTATACAGAGAGGAAAGGAGAGAGATAGAAAGCTAGAAACATCGATAGAGAAAGTCATCGATCAGCTGCCTCTTGCACACCCCCTACTGGGGATATGCCCGCAACCAAGGTACATGCCCTTGACCAGAATCGAATCCGAGACCCTTCAGTCCCCAAGCCCACGCTCTGTCCATTGAGCCAAACCGGTTTCGGCTAACAATGGTCTTATTCACAAACTTAAAATCTCAAAAAAGGTAACTTTACCACGGCAGTTCAATGTCATGGTGAAAATTCATATTAATAACTTCATTTATTAAATTACATTTAGAATACTGGATTTTTAGTTCAGAAACCAATATTCTAATACTTATATCTTTCTTTGAATTGTGCAATAAAGTTTTGCTGCTTTATAATGGTTAAAAACAAAAAATATTTGTTTTTATTGCTGATTAATTTAGTCTAGAATTAACAATATTGAATAAGAATTAAAAAATAATATAAAGAAGTTAATAATATTTTATATTTGTCAGTCATGCATGCCACATTACTCCCAAACTATCTCCACAAGGAGAAATTTTACTTTCTCTTCTAGATATATCCAATGAACCCTTAAGTAATAGAATGTTTGCATGCTTGCCTGAATACAAAAAAATGAAACTCTGTCCCTCCCAATTCCTTCCTGTCAGCCAAAGAGATTTTAATTAAAAATAAATAAATAAATAAAAAAGAGGCCACTCCTCATCTGGACATATCCTATCAGTTCAGCCAAGGCAAGTGTGAAGTAGGTTCCACTATCTTTGGCCCTAATGAGGGTCAGTAAAAACAAACAAACTTTACAGCTAGAAGAAGAAAGAATGGGGAAAGAAAAGAAAAACAAAATAAAAAAGATCAGCCTTATAGAAGCTAATGTACAGTAATGAATCTAATTGACTTTTACACAGTAATGAATTCACAATTTAAAATTTTTTAATCAACAATAATAATAAAATAATGGTTTGCTTTTAAAAGTGAAGCTCAAAGTGTAAATCATTAGATGTTTAAAATATAACAATGTGCCATGCAAAATAAACAGCCTTCATTTCAAGGCGGCAATTCTGCATCTTACTCATTTACCCCTGGTCTCATTTAGATGCAGAATTTGCCTAACTTCATCAGGCACTCAGAGTTCAAAGAGCCCCTGCTATATAAGTCAGTTCTGCCCCTTAGCACCACCCTGGCTTGATTTTTTTTTAACTCCAGCCAGATCCAAGAGAGCTAGATTCATAGAAACTTCCCACAAACACAACGTCCACTAGTCTCCTGATGTGAACACCTACAATAAGCCAAACTTACCTTGTCTAGCTGAAATTCCAGTCCAGGACTTTTCTAGTCAGATCTCCCACTACTGCCAAAATTATGTACAAAGAACCAAGCTCTAACATCTACTTAAAAGAAAGTATTGTTGCTGTTTTAATACAAAAAAAAACTTACCTAATGTATCCTTTAGGTTTTTTACAATAGATGCTTTCCGAGCACTGTTTTTCCTTTCCACATAGTTAGAAGGCACAAAACCTGTTTTATTCAAGGAATTTCGAACTCGCCACCAAGACTTAGAATCATCTAGAAGCCATAATCTCTCATTCTTCTTGATGTCCAGCTCTTGTTCTTGTTGGGCCACATAATCAAATTTGGCTACTACAACCACTTCTTCTGCCATCTTTCAGCAGCTTCAGCACTGTAACCACATAGAAAATATTTTTAAGGTGTAAATAATAGTAGTCTACATACTTTTCAAAAGAGATACACCTAAAAAACCTAAGAGCACTGAAAGGTTAAAAGTAAAAATATGAAAAATAATACACCAAGCAAATAAAAATCAAAACACAACTGGTGTAGCTATATTAATAAGACACTAAATTACTTTGAGGCAAAACCATTACTAATGATAAAGAAATTTACTATACAGTGGTAAAAGTCTGTAAAATCTATACTTATGTATTGATTACAAATACGCCAAAATAGATTACAAGAACCACAAAAAAAAAAAAAGACATCTATGGTCATAGAGGACAATTTTTAAATTTTTTATTAAGGTATTATATGTGTACATATCTTACCAACCCCCCCCCTCACTCCCATACATGCCCTCCCTCCCCAGAGTTTTGCGTCCATAGGTTATGCTTATATGCATGCATACAAGTCCTTCGGTTGATCTCTTATCTCCTCCATATCTCCTTACCCTCCCCACTGTAATTTGACAGTCTATTGCTTTACTGCACAGAGGACAATTTTTAACAACATACTTATCTCAGTAATAAATCAATAAGATAAAAAAAATTAGTGAAGCGAGAATAGAACTGACATCATAACCATGTAGTTTGAAATAATCTATAATAATCTATAATAATAAAAGCATAAAATGCAAATTGACAGCTGAACAGCGGGACAACCTTCCAAATGAAGCCGTGACTGCGAGGGCCAAAGCAATAAAGGGCTGTGAAGGCCTACTCTTCCACGAATTTCATGCAGCGGGCCTCTAGTTCTATATAATAAAAGCATAATATGCAAATCGACTGAACAGCTGAACAGCAGGATGACCTTCTGGACAAAGCTAAGGCTGCAAGGGCCAAGGCCTACTCTTGCATGAGTTTTGTGCATTGTCCTATATATTCTATATAATAAAAGTGTAATATGCAAATCGACCAAACAGCAGAGCGACCTGTTGCTATGGCGCAGTGACCACCAAGGGGCAGACATTCAACACAGGAGCTGCCCCCTAGTGGTCAGTGCACTCCCACACGGGGAGCATCACTCAGCCAGAAGCCCAGCTGATGGCTGGCAAGCACAGAGGCAGTGGCAGGAGCCTTTCCTGCCTCCACTGCAAGAAAGCAGTAAGAAGAGAGGGGTCCAGGACTGCAAGAATCCCAGACTGTGAGGAGGATGTCTGTCTGCCAGCTTAGGCCCAATTCTGAGGGTATCAGGGCTAAGCAGGCAGGCAGAAATCCTTGAGGAATCCTGCACTGCAAAAGGGCACAGGCCGGGCTGAGGGTTCCCCCTCCCCCCAGTGCACAAATCTCACGTACCGGGCCTCTAGTAAATATATAAAAATACCAGAGGCCCGGTGCACGAATTTGTACACAGGTGGGGTCCCTCGGCCCCTTCTCCAGACCTTGAACCCTAGCCACAGAAGGATGCAGCGTTCACAAGTATACATAATGTGTGTACATATTTTGTTGGAGGGGAGCATAAAAATTAGAATTCCCAATTTATATTTATTCACAAAGAAACAATAGAAAGGTAAAACCAAAAAATGGTTATTCTGCGGGGAGAAAAGAGAGAGAACCTCAGTATGGAAGCAGACCTCTCTGGGTGTACTTTTAGAAGCATCTAAATGTTTTATATAATTATAAAGTAAAATTAAACTTACAAAAAGGAAAAATAAGGTGATCTCTAAGGGAAAAAAAAGCAAGAAACAAATGAACCTAGTTGTATTTTCAGTTGATGTCATAACCACACAGAAACACATATTCTACCTTTGAGACAGCATTCTTCCTAGAACAAAGTAGATTTCATGACAAGGGAAATTACTAGGTTCATCCAGACGGCACAACAATCCTAAATGTGTATGTACTTAACAACGGAGTTCTATATATAATACATGAAGCAAAAAGTACTAGAACTGAAGGAAGTAAACAAATCTATTAATTATTCTTGAAAACTGAAACACTAATCTCAGTAATCCACCAAAATAGATACAAAAGCAACATAAACAAAATCTAATCAACAACAACTGAGTGAATCTAATTGACTTTATACAATACTATATCCACCAGCAACACAGACATCTTTCCAAGTGTACATGGTATTAGTCACCAATACAGATCATATTCTGAATCATAAAAATAAACTTTAATAAATGTAAAAGGGTTGATATTACCCAGTATGTGATCTCTGATCATGATGAAATTAAAGTCAGTAACAGAAAGATATCTGGAATATCTCTAAGTATTTAGAAGTTGAAAACACTTCTAAATAATATGTTGTCAGTCTTCTAAGAGAAAATTAGAATATTTTGAATAAAATGAAAATAGAAATACAACATATAAAAATTGGTTGAAATTAATTTCCTTCCTAGCAGCTAATGGAGTACTTAGAAGGAAATTTATAGCATTAAAATACTATTAAGAATGCTAGGGAAAAAGGTCCCAAATCAATAATGTAAGCTTTCACCTTTTGAAACTAAAAAAGAGCACATTAAACTCAAAGGAAATAGGAAGGATATAAAGATTAAGACCAGAAATCAGGAGACAAAAAGAGAATACTTGAAAAATTATTCAAATTGAAAGGGTTGAGAACAGGTCTCCCCAAGATATTCCACTTTGGCATGTTAATTTTGATCCGAAGGTACATCAAGACCAGCAGCTCATGAAAACTTTCACCTATCTCTTAAAGAATTTAAATTTGGAGCCTTTCCCACAATGAGAATCATTACAAGAAATTATTTTTTGACCTATTTATAGGGCAGGAAAAACTTTTAATTACTGAACATCTGCTCTTCTTATGGTCCTCTGAATTCCCAAAATATCTTCTCTCCTCCTTAGCCCAGAATGCCATATATATTATACCTCATTTTAACTTTCTGTATTGGAACCCCTCATGTATGTGCAGTTTCTGAAATGTAATATACATATACAGATATATGTACATAAATGTTGATTATTTCTCATTACTCTGTCTCATGGTGACTTATTAGACTAGTGGAAAAACCTAGAAGGGTAGAGTAGGAATATCTTCCTTCCCAACAAAACCAAAAGATGGTCCTTGAAAAGATCAAGGCAATTGCTAAATCTTTAGCAAATACGATCAAGAAAACAAAATTACCAATGTCTGTACTGAAAGAATATCATCAAAGACCCAAAGATATTAAAAGCAGAAGAGAATACTATTGCTGGTTTGAATGTCTGTTTCCCTACAAATTCATGTCAAAATCCTAACCCCCATAAGGATGGAGTGCTCATGAATGGGATCAGTGCTCTTATAAAAGAGATCCCAGAGCCCAGGCTGGGTGGCTGGGCTGGTTGGAGGGCCGTCTAGTACACCAAAAAGGTTTCAGGTTCGATTCCCAGTCGGGGCATACAGGAGAAAACTGACTCATGTTTCTCTCTTTCTCTACCTTCCTTTCTCTATAAAATCAAAAAATATTGTTTTAAGGGCGAGTGGGAAAGAGAAAAAGAAAAATATTCTCAGGAGAGTATTAACTAACTAACTAACTAAATAAATAAATAAATAAGTAAGTAAATAACAAAGAACTTGGGTAAACTGTGTTCATGTCTGAGGGTTTTGTGGAAGCTAGAACTGTGAGGATAAATTGGCTATTTGGTTACAGCTATTACTAAGCAAAGTGTTGAAACTGCAATTTTACTTGGATGCTTAGAATAAAACTTGAGAAGAGAAACAATTTAAAGATGAATCAAAAGGGAAGCAGAAATTTAAATTTAAAAGTTGGAAAATTCTCAACTATCCATATTGCAAAAAAATTTGAAAATATGTTATGAGTTCTAAGGGTATGGCCAAGGGATGGGACCCTTTGAAATGTTTAGGTGTGAACATTAGACTCAATCAGCCATCATAATCATGGAGAAATTAAAAATTACATGCTAATCTGAAACAAATGCTAATTAAAATAAAGGCCTTTATTTTAAATGATAGGTCAAATAAAATGACACCCTATATTATTTACTTTTGGAAATACCACTTTGGAAACATCCACAATATGACAAAGCACAAAATAATGGCAAAGGCAATCTGAACTGGCAGAAATCAGGAAGGAATAAAGGGAGATTGTTGGCCAATCTTCCTAGATATTATAAGGTAAGACCATATATAATATATCCTTTAAGACAAGGAAAGAAGAACCACAAAGGCTGCCTCCTCCATTTCAAAAGGGGCCATCCTGAGTTTCAACCCAAAGATGTGGGGCCAGGCCAGGAGAGCCACTGGCATGTGATTGTAGCACAGCAAGAGCTGCCTTGAGCTGCATTCAAGAAAAGCCATTGGGGAAACACAGTCAAGTATTTAATGTTTTTAAATAGAGAACATATTTGAACAGATATTTCACACATACAAAAAAAGATATCTAAATGGCATATAAGCACATGGAAAAGATTCTCAAACTCATTAGTCATTATAGGAATGAAAAATAAAACCACCAAGTGATATCACTACACAGCTATGGAGAAAAGAGAGGTGGAGAACAATAAAAGGGGAAAAGAAAGAGGGGAGAAGAAAGATAAGAGAAATAGAGATAGAGATAGAGATATAAAAAAAAAAAAAAGAAGAAGAAGAAGAAGAAGAAGAAAAGGGCCACAAGTTGACCTGACAAGCTCAGGGGAGGCCTGCATGGCAGTCTTGCAAACTCAAGAGACCTAAAGTAACCACAAAAGATGGTCTGAAATTAAACTTTAACTTTAAAATAAGTTATGGTGGGCAGTTACATCCTAGGCCGGTATCCTCACTGACAAGGTCAACCTTTATCTTAACTGAGCCTATTTGTCTTTTTGCATCTATGTTAACATACCCTTGAAATGTCTGGGTAACTTGTAACTTCCTTTTTTCTGGAGCCCCTGAGGCACAAACAAATGTGCTGGGCTCCAGGACAGATACCACAAATTATCATGTTAATTGTTCCTGCACCCTCCTAAGTATGTGTCCATCATT